TTGCTACAAATCGTCCATAATTCATTCATTCATTTCATCGCTCATTCGTTCACTGCCACAGAATGCTATTTCTTACTAATTGCTTTGTAGCAGATTCAGAAGGCGTTTTTCACTAGCTGTTACAAACCCCCACGAATCTGCCATGTTTCATAGAATATATTCAGTTCCTGACAATATATACTGTCTGGCTGCAGAAATGGGCGGAACATTTGAAAGAAAACTGGCAACTTCATAATGCAGAATTACGCCGGCTCACTGTGACAATACCAAGCAACACAGCTAGACGTGGTAGAGGCTTCAGTAAGTCAGTTAAAATGTACCAGAGCTGAGGTAAACCGTATTGCTGCTGAAATGCTCAGAGCTGGAAGAATTTGATTAATATGATTTTTACACAACCCTGTACGAAGATTTGGAATGTTTAAGTTTGTCAAACTAAACTTGAAATAAAACATTTTCAAAAGAATCAAGAAGAACTTCATCAGTGTTCAGACGTTGCAGCGGGTGTCGAGGAATAACGTTTCTGGCAATCTCGAGTAAAGCGTTTTCGACAGTTATCCTTGAAAGAGAACGAACTGTAGTAGAATGAATGCTTTCACAAAACTCATTCTTCCTTATTGCCGTACTGCATAAATCGTAGCTGTACTGTATAACATGTCAGAAGTTATGCAGATTCTAAGGTAAACGCCTGCAGATAGTTTCAAGGTGACTGGCATTCAGCAGGTGCACATGTTATCCCTTCTGCTGTTCAGTGTGTACTTAAAGAAGGCCGGGGACAATATTTATAAAGTACATCTCACTTATGCTTCATAAATTGCTTGAAATGGCTCATAAATCTTCTCGCCACATGCTTGCTACTCGCCCACTTGCCGCATGCTGATCGTCCGTACAGTTGCTGTGCATGTCACGTGTTAAGGGCACGATAGTTGGTTGAGAATACAATTGTTATAGTATCTTTAGTCATTTGAACGGTGAGTTCTGAAGAAATGTCTCTGCCGTATTAAAGGCTAAAAGTACGAAATTCAGGCTGGTTAGCCCACCTAGCCAACTTGTTCATCAATTAAAAGAGGACGGAAGAGAAGATGACGTGGAAGTTCATGATCATGAAAACGTGAGGTGGACGCTCAGCTTGAAGATGCATTCGGATTAATGCGTTATTTTCTCAGTCAGGGAACAACCATTCTGCTGATACCGTAAGAGCAGAAGCAGTGAGAATTATCGAAGAAGTGAAGGAAAGCGTCATTATATGTCAGGGCGCTGTACGTGAAATTTTGGCCTCAGCTTCTGCGGGACTGTCATAAGCAGTAGCCGGAAAATTGTTACCTATTCATAG